GAAGGATTTGTGTAGCAAGCATAGTATTTAAAACCAAAAAGAAAACGTGACGGAAGGAGAGAGAGAATCATTTACCAACCAAGAAAAAAGACATGTCCGAAAACATCCTATTGGAATGTGCCACTGGGAGCCAGGCTACAGATCAGGTAAATACAGATCACGTGGAAAGCGAGGGAAACTGCTGCAAGCGATTCAGCAGAAAACTGTACTTACCACACAATACCCTCTATTTGCATGTGAATGTGATATGACAACAGTATGCAGCCCTTGGAGAAGCAAGATGGTCTTGTGGTGAAAGGAGCAGATCGTAACACAGAAAATCTGAATTCTCTTTCTGGTTTTGTCTTAGACCTTGTGTTTGAATTTATGCAAATCACTCAATCTCTTATTTCCCCCTCTGTAAAATGGAGATGATCAGATTCCCACATCACCCAGGAATGCTGTCAGGATCAATCCATTGCAAGAACTGCTCAGATGCTACAGCAGGGGAGGGCAATTATTTCGGGCGGAGGGCCACTTACTGAATTTAGGCAAGCCATCGAGGGCTGCATGACAGTTAGACAGGGGCAAATAACTACTAATTTTCTAAATTTTTTAGGGGCCCCGTGGGCCAGATAGAATGGCCTGGTGGGCCGCATCTGGCCCACGGCCCACATTTTGCCCACCCCTGTGCTACAGGCTGATGCCTCCCACATGACCTGGATTAGCGCTCTCAGGAGAATCTAGTGGAAGCATTTGCTGACCAGGGGTAGGGGTGCATCAGTGTAGAAAAGTGGCCTTTTACTGTTTATTTCTGTTAGAAATTGTGCCTGTTTGAAACACTTTCACTACAAAATTGATTACCCAAGCTATGAAAAATGTTGGAGGTTTTTGTAGTATTTATGTCACAGAGAGGGAGAGGAATAAGCTGATATTGCCCAGACTGAGGAAAAATGAAGGGACTTGGAGAGCAAAGTTTTGAGAGAGGAAGAGATTGGTGTCTGTGTGTCTTATGGGGGGGGGTTGGAGCTGTGTTGGTCTAAAGACATAGGCAGACAAGGTTCTTTGGGTAAATCTGATATCTTTTTTTAGAGCAACTCAAATATGTGAGTTGGCCTAATAAAAGATATCAGATTTACCCAAAGAACCTTGTCTACCTATATATACATATACATAATATGTATGTATGTATGTTTGCACTGGGTAAAGGTGAGCCCCTGGCTTACAGGAGAACACAGACACTGAAAGATATGTGATCAGGATATCAGGTGTAAGAACGACAGGAGTTTTAATTAACTTTCTAATAACAATTCCTCCAGGTAACGATGAAGTTCCAAGACACTATTTTTTCCTCAGATGAAGATAGCAGTCTGTATTTCACGTACAGTGGTGAATCAAACGTTCTACAGGTCAATGAACTCAACTATCAGGTACAAGGCTGGCTTTATTTATCTTTATTTACTATGGCATGTATTCAATAATTTTCTGCTTGTAACATTTAAGATGCTCTAAAAAGATAATGAGGAATCAAAATACACACAGAGGCCTTGCAATTACTATAAAAGAAACATCACTGAAGCTATGGAAGTTTTGGGTACAGAATCAGGCCCTTAGCTGCTCTGAAATAGTAGGCTGGTCTGTCGCAGAAGACATATTTGGCACAGCAATGGTGTTGGGTGATAATAGGCAAAAAGTGTATCTCAGCTACATTTGTGTTCTTCTGATCCTGAGCAGGCTCCGAGCTCCTCCAAATAGGTCCAAGAGGCTATTCTGATAGATGGGTGTCAAGTTGCAGGAGAGCCTAAGTTATATCCCCGCTCTCTCAGAAATGCACCCCAGACTGGGAACTGATAGTGTGACATGCATAAAAAGATTCCTCAGGGAGCTATTTAAGATTTCTATCTGCTTTGTACCAAAGAGCTGCAAAAAGCTAGAGCAGATCTCAAGAATTGGGCCTATCGCTTTAGCAAGCAAAAATACATTTTGCAAAGACTTAAAGGCCTGTGCATATGAGGTGTAACATAAATAGCTGGGCAGTATTTGCATTCCTGTTCAGATAATATGCATTATCTTTTATTTTCACTTTTGATTGTTTTCAGATTAGAGCTGACAAAAATATTTCCAGCCAGTTCTACCAAATGCCATGATAATCAGGAGCTTGACAGAAATACATAGAAAGAAATAGGTTTGGTAATCAACAGTTATAACAGAAAAAAGATGGAAACTTAGGTGGCTATAAAAAGGAATTTGCTAACACCCACCTTTGGAAATGTGCATCAAGTTGGTGGCAGCTACTCCCATGCATTTCTCAGTTTGCATTATCTTAACTTCGAAAGGTTGTGTTGTGATGGTACTAACTTTTTGAATGGAATGTTTATTTTCTTGTATTTAATTCTTTTCATTAGGTTAATGTGGCAGCTCAGATTCCCTGGTATGAGAACATAGCAGAATTGAAAATGCCTTGGACATGGAGCAGAGGCCCAGATTCTCATGTGTCAGCAATCCAGAATCTGAATTTTAAAGTTCAAAGCGGTCAGATGCTAGCTATTATAGGAAGCTCTGGTAGGACTGAAAGCTTTACCATAATGACCATGTCTTTACCATCAAGTGTACAATAGCTGCTAGCAATAATTTTCAGTCCCCTGGATGCCAAAGGACATGTAATGCAGCTCATCTAAAAAAACCCATTCCTTAGCAGCAGGTGTTATAAATCAATAAGACATGAGCACATGGATCCCATGGCAGAAGACAGTTTGATCAAGAACTTCTGTTTTGATGTGTATATTTGTTTACCAACTGTTTCTTTGTGAATTTTTTTTTTTTTTTACCATTAGAGTTTGGGGGCCAGATTCCCTGAATCTGCCTGTAACAAGTGCAAGGTGCCTGCAGTGAAGGAAACTTGAACTGCTTGACCCAGCTCAATGGGAAGAATGGGCAAGTACGAGCCCTGACCTGATTACATACATACCCTGATCCTAGTCAGACCCTGAGAATGAGTAGTAGCAGTACCATTGCCTCACATCCACAGGTTGAATTCCACTGAGACAGATACTTTTGCAGAGTATGGCAGTAAATTCAGATGAACTTAATGGAAAATGCATGAAGAAAGGAAGCAATTTCACCACAGTGTGGTTTGTTTGTTAAATGTCTTCCACTTCCTACCTACCTCCCCCTCACCACCACCTCCTTTTCTGATTGTGGGGGCTGGTGAACTTTTCTACTGGGGTTCTGCTTTCTCAAGTTGCCCTAATAAAGACAACCCGTGGTAAGCTTTACTTCTAGAGGTAGTAAGTCAAAGTTGACTTTGTATGGCTAGAGGTAAAAAACAAATCCATGCCTTCTCTCTCCTCGGATTTAGCTATCCTGATGTAAAATCCACACCTTTGGAGAGCAAAGATGGGAGCCAAGTGTGTCATAGAAGAGTCTTTATGTCAACAAAATTAGACTGTGGGCCTTTATTACTTAGCCAAAATATACAGGTAGTCTGTTCATCTATGGAACTGACCACCTAGGAAAATCGGTGCAAATCTATTTTAACCAGCATCTTTACAGACGAAGATTTTTTTTTTCATTTCAGGACATATGCTGAAATAAGTAAATAAAAAACTAGAATAAGTAGCAATGAAATTGAAGTTTTACCCTGGGGATCACACTGATAAAAGGCTGAGGTTTTGATAGAATAACATCTTACATTGCAGTATATTTGTTAAGGTAACTTACACTGAACATAAACCCCATTCAGCAAACCTGGTTTAAAGAGCTTTTTAAAATATAGTTTATTAACTACTTTATCAAATGCTTTAGTGAAATGGATCAAACTGCTGGTGGTTTTCTTTCTTTCTCCACGGTGATCAATGTGTCAGTCATAAATGGATTGGTATATAGCTTGCAGATGGATGGCATCCATTTTTTAAAGAAAATTCTACATTAAAAAACAACCTCCAAAACCTCAAGCATGGAGTTTTTAACAAGACTGGCAATAAATTAAAAACAACAATGATAATAATGATGGAACTCTGTATGCCCTTGCCTACTGTATCACACAGAATGAGAGCAAACCCTGTTGTTATTTATTTCCAAACCTGGATTTGCTCCCATTCTTCTGTTTTGCTCCCCCTAGATGTGAGCAAGGCATTTATTTGTAATATTTTACTTTTAATGCTTATTGATTGATATTATCATAGCACCTAGATGCTCTACTCATGGGCGAGCTGTCTTTTGTGTCAGGTATTGTGCAATTTATACCTTACAGTGCACATTGGGCTGCAGTCAGATATATTAGGGCAGAGTCTGTGTCCAAACAGACCTCCAGTGAGGCCAGTGGGACTATTACTATGCTTAAAGTTAAATATGTCCTTAAGTATTTTGCTGAATCAGGGCCTGAGTTTTCAAGCTCACTGTAGTCAGCTAAAAATTGGCACATTTACTAATACAATAAACTTAAGTCTGTAACTTTTCTCTGATGGCAAAGGGTTTAGGGTCTGAAGATGTCAACTGTCTTTGGCACCCAGTTGCATCTTCTCTATACAGTCAAAGTACCATGGGACAGGGACCACCACAGTGATGCACAGCATGCCTGTTCTGCACATGCTACATCCCACAAAGATGCAATATAGAGCCACCTTTTGTATAGTGCTGGGCACTCAGTAATAAGCATGCCCATAATACAGTGCTTTTTGCAGTACACACAGAACCACAGTAAGAACGGCTATGTGACATCCTTTTGGTGTGCGATGCCAACAAAGCAGGCATGTTGTGCTTTACTGCAACAAGCCCCAGTGTGGTCTTTTCATGAGAAAGACATTCCTGAAAGATCATTCCTAAATGAATGGTTAGTCTGGTAATGCTCTACTCCAGGAATTGTTCCCTCTGTGCTTGTAAACATACATTTGCTGAATCTGAACTTGCAATAGCAATTCTGAAGCTTTGACTGTCACTGACTATCCTAACTTTTATGTTTCTGGAGTAAGTTATACTGAGGGTTTGGTGTGAGGGGATGTGTGTGTGTGGGGTGCAATATGAATGCATAAGTTCAGCAAAGATGTTTACCATATTTACTAGCATATCAGACTCATCTTCCCCCACCCCAAAATCAGCCCTCCAAAGCTGGGGTGCCTGTCTTAATCAGGGAAGCTGACTCCCCCCCCCCC